ATATTATCCAAATATTAAGGTACCATTAAATCTAATAAATAACAAAGGGCCAATAAACAATAATATTATTCAAATGATAATATTTATATCATTATTTCAAATAATACAATCATCCAATTTATTATTATTTTAGAAATTCTCTCACAATCCCCCACCATTTTCAAAATAACTAAATCTCATAATTATGAAAATATCATGGTTTCAGATATTGGTATCTTACAATTTGAACCAATACTTAGTAAGCTTTGGGTTTCACTCATCTCGAATAGACATTGGTAGACAAGCTTTGAACCAACTATTCATTAGAACAAGTGTCCAAATCTCACACATTAAATCTCGATACTATCAAAAGAATTGTAAATATGACACATTTGATAAGGCCCAATGCCGTGTATCCTTTTCATGAGAATTTAAGAGTCAAGCCCTTGAACTCTATGAAGCGGCCCACTTTATTCTCATATAGATAGACTATATTAAAAATGCTCCCATAATAAGCATTTCAGCACATATATGATATATATATACTAAGAGAATAATCTCAACCTTCTATCTTTTACTTATGGTCTCCAAGTACTTTTGTCCTTTGGGATGTATTTATAATCAAGTACTTGCAATCACTCTAATAGTGTACTTTCACCATTGACTCAAGACTTAATTTTAACTAAGTGTGAGTTGAGTTTCTACTATTGGTGATCAATTAGATATGGGCTTTAGACCCATTCCCAATGATGTCTTCAACACCATGTCTTTTGTCAGACCTTTTGCCAAAGGATCTATAAGATTATTTTCTGTTTTTACGAACACAATGGAAATTACTCCATTTAAAATTAAATCCTTCACATAGCTATGTATTATATCAATATGTCTAAAATTTCCATTATATACTTGGCTATATGCTTTTGATAATGTAGACTAACTATCACAATGTATGGATACATGTGCCATTGGCTTTGGCCAAATAGGTATCTCATACGATAAATTTCTTAGTCATTCAGCTTCTTTACTGTCGGCAGGTAGCAATAAACTCTACAGTCATGGTGGAGTTGATGCAAGTCTATTTCTTTAAACCCCAAGAAACTGCACCTCCACCAAGTTTGAAAATCGATCCACTAGTAGAGGCATGATCTTCTATATATGTTACCCAACTGGCATCTATATGCCCCTCTAAAACTAAAGGATATCCAATATAGGTTAAGGTATAATTAATTATCCCTTTCGAGTATTTTAATACTCTATTAATAACACGCCAATGGTCTTTTACTTGGATTACTTGTATACCGACTTAACTTACCAATAACATGTGCTATATCAGGCCTGGTACAAGTCATACTATACATCAAGAATCCGATCACCTTTGAATATTCAAGTTGTGCCACTGAACACCCTTTATGTGGCTGCAAATTAACATTTTGATCAAATAGGGTAGAAACTGGTTTACAATTGAAATGATCAAATTTCTTAAGCACCTTTTCGATGTAGTGAGATTGGGATAAACTAATATTTTCACCATCTCTTATGATTTTAATTCCCAAAATCACATCTGCTTCACCTAAGTCATTCATATCAAAAATTTTGGATAAGAAAGTTTTAGTGGTTTCTACCTCATTTAAACCAGTACCAAAGATTAACATATCATCCACATACAAACAAGTTATGACACTTTTTTCATTGTTAAATTTACTATAAATACATTTTTCAAATTCATTTATTTTGTATCCATTGGTTAGCATAACATGGTCAAATTTTTGGTGTCATTGTTTGGGGGCTTGTTTTAACCAATATAAAGACTTGGTTAATTTACACACTTTATGTTCTTGACCTTTGATGACAAATTCTTCAGGTTGTTTCATATATAGCTCTTCATATAACTCTCCATTTAGAAAAGCAGTTTTAACATCCATTTGATGTATTACAAACTTATAGATGGAAGCAAGTGCCAAAAGCACTCTGATTGATGCAATTCTAGAAACAGGTGCATACGTATCAAAGTAATCAATACCTTCCTTTTGTGTATACCCTTTAATGACAAGTCTAGCTTTGAATTTTTCAATGGTACCATCAACTTTCATTTTTTTAAAGATCCATTTACAACCTATTGGTTTTGATCCTGGTGGAACATCTACTAGTTTTCAGGTTTTATTACCAATAATTGAGTCCATTTTTTCTTGGATAGATTCTTTCCAAAAAGCAGAATCTTGAGATTTTATTGCCTCATCAAATGTTTCTGGATCATTCTCTAGGTTATAGCAAATTGGTCCATTACAGTTTATCGAATAATTATTTTCTTCTACAAGGAGCATGAAGAAGTCTGATCCATAGTTTTTCACTTTTCGAATTCTTTTACTTTTTCTAGGTTCTGAACATGCCAACATATCATTATTAGATACATTACTTTCTAGACTTTGAACATCATAATGAACATTGTCTTTGAGATTTTGAATTGAGGTAAATCTGCTTTCTTGAAAAATTGCATATCTTGACTCAATCATGGTATTAATAGCATATGAGTCATTGGATTCAATAACCATGAATCTATATGCTTTCCTATTTTCAGCATATCCCAGAAATACACATTCAATTCCTCTTTCTCCCAATTTCTTTCTTTTTGGTTTAGGCACTTTTGCAATTGCTCTACAACCCCCAAACTTTTAAATAATTAAGATTGGGTTTTCTTTTCTTCCAAAGTTCATATGGGTTTATTTAGTTCCTTTTATTAGGAACTCTATTCAATATATAACATGCAGTTAGCATGACTTCACCCTAATATCCTTTAGATAAACCAGAATATGATAATATGGCATTCACCATTTCTTCCAATACCCTATTTTTCCTCAATTCATATTCATTTCAGAAATAATAGCAACAAGATTGTCTGTTGTTGCACTTAAATTCTTGTTTTTATTCTCTCTTTTCAAGAACCTGCACTTATTTTTTAAGTGTCCTGGTTTTTCACAATGATAGCAATTTCCTTTCTTTTTCTTTCTATTGTTATTATTGCTATTAACATTATGATTTTCATAAGATTTTCTAAAATCTCGTTTTTTTTTTCTTGGAAGTTTTACTTGAATTTCCTTCCTCCATTACATGCACCTTCTAATGAGCAATTTGATTTTTAGTATCATCTTCTTTACGATACTCTTCTTCTAAACGAAGGTGATTACCCAATTGCTCAAGAGATATGTTCTCTTTCTTATGTTTCGATGGTTTTTTAAAATCTTTCTATGATGGAGGAAGTTTATCTATTATGGAAGATACAATAATTGTTTCATCCATATGCATATCATGTTATTTGTAGTTATTGAGAATACGTTTGATTTCATACATTTGTTCCATTACAGACCTACCATCTGTCGTTTTATAATTATTAAATTGAGAAACAAGAAACTTCTTACTAGTAGCGTCTTCTTGCATGTATCTTGATTCCAATTTATCCTATAATTCTTTTGCGGAGTTACTGCTCTGATAAATTTCGAACCACGAGTTGCACATACCGTTGAGGATGTGCCTCATGCATATATAATCATCATTGTCCTACTTTTGTCTCTCTCTAGTTTCAGCAATTGTTTCTTCTTTTTCTTCCAGTTTTGGAATGTTAAAGACACGCACCACTTTCAATGTTGTAAGAAGGAATTTCATTTTTTTCTACCAACGAATAAAATTCCCTCCATCGAACTTCTCTAATTTCACAAAGTCAGAAGTTATCTCTTTTAGTGAAGCAGCCATTGAATCAGATGTATTGTTCCTTAAGATTGTTATAAATATTTTGATTTTGGGTTTGTAGCAAAACTAAGAATGAATAGAGATGAAAATAGAGAAATAAATTTGCTACAGGATACTTTAGAATCCTTAAAGAGAATTGCACAATCTCTCTGAGTGTATCTTTGATAGTATTTTACAGAAGAATATTTCTTTTTTTTACTCTTATGCATTAGAGAAGAGAAAGATAATTTAGTATGAGAAAATAATTTGAAACTGGTTTGTTATAAATTTTCATCATGGTAAGACCTCTTATGTAAAATGAGGTTGATATCTGTTTGGAAACAAAAACATTTTTTTTAAAAAAGGTATTACACTGTTTTGATTACCAGATATGAAAAGTAACAACGTTTTGCATAAAATTAGTACTGGTTAATTGGTAAGTAACACCCCTTCCTAAATAAAAGGTAAACATCATCTTTATTTTAAAATTAATTCACGTTAAATAAATAACAATATTATTTAAATATTAAGACACCATTAAATCCAATAAATAACAAATGACCAATAAATAATATTTATATCATTATTTCAAATAATACAACCATCCAATTTATTATTATTTTAAAATTTATTATTATTTTAGAAATTCTCTCAGAAACATCACTATTGTTGGTCTTAAAAGATCTGTGTATTCAATTTCCAAAAATAATCTAAATTACCCTAGTTGCTTCGGAGAGAATTGAACATCCATGTTGGTGATGAGTTTTGTTGAATGTGAGGTTGACAATTAAGCGAAAATAATACTATAAACATAAACTAAAATATTAATGGAGTAAGTGGAAGTAGTGAGGGTGAACATAGTAGATATAACATTGGGGACTCTAAACATAGACATAACTCAAACTCAAACTCAAGTTATTCAGTTAACTAATATTATGTTGAAAATTGAAAATAATATTCATTTTAAGATAGATGTAATTTTTTGTTTGTTAAAATGACACTAAAATTGTGACATGGTAATACCCATTTTTAGTAAAGAACCTCCAAAAACAAGCCAGCAGTAGTAACAAATTTTCTATGTAAAATATTATCATGATCATAATAAATAACAATTTCTAGCTTTCAGCAATAGTACATCGGGAACCAATGCCCAAAAATGGGTTAGAAATGCAACAACATTTTGCATTTTACACTTTAGCTTTCAACTCATAAGAAAACTACATGAATTACCATTACAACCATTTAAAAACACCTCGAAAACTATTATGCAAGAAACATTCCATGGAGGCCATACATTGTTTCTAAGAGGTTTGTACTTTTCCTTGAGACTGAGCATTAGATTTGGCAACCCCTTCTTTCCATCCTTTTTGGCGAGCTCGAAGCTCCCACAATGCAGTTAACTTCTTCTGAGCGACCAATGCCAACTCAGCTTTCTCCCTTGCCTGCTCACATGTTTCCATGCCAGAATTACACTTGTCTGCTTCTTTCTGATATTGAGATGCAATCTTCTTTGACTCAAGGAGAGCCATGTCAGCACGTCGCTGGTTTTCTAAAGCATCAGTTTCACGTAGCTTTAGTTCTTCCGATAATAGCTCTGCAAAATTCTTTTCAGTGTCTCCGTTTACTTCTGGATCAGGCTTTGCACAATCTGAATAGCAATTCCAATCAAGAAAAGAAAAAGAAGATTTGTAGGTGAAGGAAGTTGAGCCATAAATACCAGTGAAAAGATGATACACAATAACACCGCTGTGTGCAAAATGAATTTTCTGTTCTTGAGCATTCATGTTTAGACCAAAAACTTACTCAAATTTTGACATAAAATTTCTTATTCAAATTTTGATGAAATTCTATAATCAGGAAAATGTAAACCAATGTAAACCAAGCATGAATCTTTTAAGAAAAAACCGAAGAGACATGAGATTTTGTGATCCTAAAAGATGATTCTGTCAAAAAGTAGAAATAGCTATTTATCATATTATTCAAAGTGACTCTAAAAGATGATTCTGTCAAAATAGAAATAGCTATTTATCATATTGTTCAAAGTGACTCTAAAAGATGATTCTGTCAAAATAGAAATAGCTATTTATCATATTGTTCAAAGTGACTCTCAACAATAGTACTTCAACTCCTACCATTAGAGTTGTGTCTTATGTTTTCGGAGGCCCTGTGTAGGTAAGCCACGGGTTAACTGTGGCAAAATAAATAGGGGTATATTTTTCTACGGTTTAACCATAACAACATTTTATGAGACCCTATTTAACTGCGATTTAACAAAGTCATATTTTAGACCATGTGCGGTAGCCCGTCTTGCACGCTCTCAAAGATGGCCCTGCCTACCATCATACTAATGTGTATGATTGGTATTAAGACCGACATGGGTTATTTAATGGGTTTCAATTTAGTTTATCTAGGATGCAGAAACTAACCTCCAAATGAAATGTTGCCCAGCCCTGCAGAAAAAAAGTGAAAGAAACTGAAATAAGTACATACCCGATTTACCGTTACATGATGATAAAGGAGTAGTAAATTATGATAAAACCATGACAACTTTCACATAGTTCAATAAAATTGAAACCCTAAATCATAAGGTTGTTGATTAATGGTTTCAATCCATTATTGATAACCAAAAGAAATAATAGTGTTCTTAGGTTACAGTGCTCTACTTTCATTTTTCTTTTAAGTTGATAACAGAAATAGGTTATGTGGAGACAACTTCACGGATATGCCTCTTCAATAGGATTTTAAGCCATCACAAATAGGATTTTAAGCCATCACGGATATGCCCAAACAGAAAGATTTTTATGTTGTCAAAACCATGTAGCAATCACAAATGAAGCCGCATCAACCTAATTTGATCAAGATTCTCCACAATATCAAGAATCGAGATGCAACCACAATTGCCAGTTTGTTACCACGACACCACTGCTATTTAAAGCTCTGCATGATTTGGCCTTAAGATGTATAATTGACAATTAGTTTGTTAATCAGGTCTATCACTTCATATCAAATCAAAACCTATGATAAAAGTATACCATACATACAGGGGAATTTAGATCAAAGTTTCAAGTTTGTAACTTCACACTGGTCCATTAAATTCTTACAGAAAATTCCAAAACCCTAGCATATAATAACTTTAAATAAGCAAAATCACATTCACCATTAACTGAAAAGTCAGATCAATAGTTCCTATGAGTCAAATATTCACTCAAATTCAATGATTGAACTAACACGCCAGATACTACAATAAAATAAAAAACAGAATAACATAAACCTAGATCTCAAAAAGATTCAATTTTTTCCTTCTGATTCAAATTCATAAGTTGAACTGAACTACCCAATTGAGAAAAGATCAAATTTTGAACTAGATCTAAAAAAGGGCAATTAAGGAAAGTTAAAAAAAGGAAGTAGTAAACAAAACCTTGAGGAATTGAAAAAGTGGGTTGTGAAGAACAATCACAGAGACAAGGGGCACAATTGGAAGAAGAAGAAGAATGTTTGACAGCAGCTAAACCTTCTTTGAAATGCCAATAGAGAGGAGGACATAGTATGTAACCTGCTATGCAGAGAGCTACAATTACCAAACTCGCCCTCAAAACTGCAACCCCTGATTTGTTCATAGCCATAAACCTTGTTCTCTATCTATTGGTGGTTGCACACAGAAGACAAAAAAATGAAATCTAGAGAGAGAAACAAATGATGGGGTTGAATCAAATAAAGTTTTAAGGTTGTGTGTCGGCAATTTGAAGTTGAAAGAGTGAGAACAGGTTGGTGATAGTGCTATGCTACCGGTTCTTCTCGCCTATTTTTTTCCTGGTCTATTTAAAATAAAAATGTGTCCTAAATTGAATGATCAATTTTAATTTTTAATGTATATTTTTTAATTTTATCTTTTAATTATTGTTATTTTCATTATTTTCAATATATGATAAAAGTATTTTAGTAAAAATATTATTTTCTCTCTCTTTTGTTTTAATCTGCATGAAAAATAAACTATATCACTCATTATAAAACAGAGAGAGTAGAAATCTTTTTTTATTTATTTAAAAATTGAATAGAACTAAGTCTGACGAGAAGTTCAGAGATTTTTTTAAAATTCTCAAACCTAAATTTGATAGAGGATGAATAATTAAAATTCAAATCCATTCTAAATGGATTCGAAATCCAATTTTTTAAATAAAAATATTTATTTTTTCAAAATCAAATTACATTATAAATAATAAAATAAAACAATTTCAAAAAATTTCATACATACATTTTAAATATTTTAAATAATAATTATAAATTAAAATTTCAAAATATTAGTCACATACTTAATATTCTAAATTATAACAATTAAATAATAATATACATAATAAAATAAATTGGGCGTGTTCCCATTACCCGATTTGTCCCCATATTTTATAATCAAAAAAACCTAAATCCATATTCAAATCCAATCAAAATAAACTTTTTCCATCAACTTTGAGGCGGGTTCAGGTGGATAGCCGTGGATATGGATAAGGATGTCATGTCTAAATAAAATAATGAAAGTTGCAAAATTTGTATGTAAGTATTAAAAACAGTCAATTATTTAAAAATGAAATAAAATATAAATATTTTAAATAGAAATTAAAAATAAAAAAAGAAAAACAAAATTTAGTAATATTGAAGAGTCGTACTATTAATGATCCATCTTATAAATAGAATGAAAAGGTCTAAAAGGATAACGAGCGAGGTTAAACGTGTGCAACATGTGAAAGTGAGCTCGCCATGTCATCCTATATGTCTAGAGATGACTCAGCAAATATGTTCTTTCCACCTGCAGAACTACTCTAGAAGTTGCCAAACAATTTCAAGTAAGTCTTATTGACCGGCTAAACCCACATTTCCTATATTAAAGGGGCCACTCACCCACCACACTCTAGGACATTTCAAGTCAGGCTATACATGGTTGAGTTGATAGACCGACACCCCTCAAGGGAGGGCTGAGACTAAAGAGTTAGGTCAAACATATATTTTTTTACCTATCAGAATCCTAAAGTAATCCTCTCATTGTAGGCGTGATAACCTCTGTTGTATTCACCGTAAGTACACTTGGCGATCACTGTGAGGGTATGGTAAAACTAACCTGTACAGTTTTTATAAAATCTTTAGCTTACCTCATCCAACGTTTCCCAATGACGGGCATAAGAAATACATCCAATTTTGGCGATGACAAGGTCCTAATGGGGATGCAGGCCACGATGGAAGATTTACATTGCTAGAATAAAGCCATGCAAGCTAACATTTAGAACAACCAACGATAACAAGAAGATGGCGATAAACAAGATGGCATAACCCCTTTATGCTAAAATCTAGGACACCTCGCTCCTAGATAACTTCAATCCCCGTTGTGAAATTTGACGGGAAGAGCAACCCTTAGGAGCACGTTACCGCCATCAATACAAAAATGGAGATAATAAGTGAGACAAAATCCCTAAAGTGTAAGTTCCTTTTCCAGAACAGTGAAAGAGGCAGCTATGCGTTGGTACGTGAGCCTTTTAGGTTCTTTGTGACCATCTACCATTACTTTTCGAGGAAGCTGATATGCCAGTTTTCAGTAAGAAAACACAAAAAGAAATTCACCACCAATTTATTGAATGTACATTTAGAATACTCTGAGTCACTACGAGAATATCTAGCGAGAATACCTGTAGATTTACTCGACAAAGCCCACATAATGGAAGACATCCAAGAACTCACAATAAAACAAAGAGCCGCAATGAGGTAGAAACCTTGCTGGTTCTGAGAGAAATGAAAGAATGTGACTCGGTAATGAAGCATATAGTGGCACCAACTATGATTTGGAAGTTATTTCCCAATTGGGAAGGGTCCTACATAGCACGTGAGAAGCTGTCACATAACGCCTATAAACTAGAAGAACTCAATAGAGAGGCCATTCATAGGTTTTAAAACTCATTGAATCTGAGACATCACTATTATAGTTAACATTTACTTTTAAGCTAATAAGGCAAAGATGTAAATCACCGACTTCATTTCTTATACTTATGATTTGAAACATCAATGAAGTAGTAGTATATCACTATTTTTTCCTACAAGGGAAGAGTTTTTAATGAGGCACCTTATTTGCTAAGTTTATCATCTCATATGATTCATATGAAGAATACACATGAGTATCACTGTGTCGTCCGAGATATCATTGGGACATTTGAGGTATCGTTGTCCCTCTGAGATACATTGTGCACTCCAAGATATCATTACACCCTTCGAGGGTATCATTGCATCCTTTGAGATATCATGTCCTATGAGGTAACACTGGACCCTCAGAGATATAATCAAACTCACGATCATGTTTCCATGGGTCCATAAAAGTTATGTCACAATGGCATTGAGGTTACGTTTCAACCCAAAAGCACCATAATATTATCTTAATTCAAATATATTAGAGACCTTCTAACAAAAGCTAAAGTGTTAAATGCAAATGGAGTTCCCAATCCAATTCTTAAACTCTAAAAGCTTATAAAACATTGCTAAGATGTATTTGATGATCCTCACTAATATAAGTCCACTATAACACCTTATAGTATTTTACTCTAAATAGACCTAACATTGCCTACAATGTGAGTAAAGCTTGCTAATTTGAGTATGCTCCTCTTGTGCCATATTGGTATACACTTAAAAGAATATTGATGTACTTAAGTGGTAATATCTCTCATGGTCTATTGCTTATGTCTTTAATTGTTGGTTAGAAGTTCTCTCTCATTTTATATAATGATAGTGATTGGGCCATCGACCTTGATGATTGCATATCCATATTCGAGTCTTAAATTTTCTTTAGGCCAAATATAGTGTTTTGAAGCTCAAAAAAATAGTCCTTTATAGCAAGAGCCCTTTTGAGTCTTCCCAGTAGTAATGTAAGAGGTCTACTACGCCACCCGTAGCAACTGCTACGGACCCTAGCAGGGAGGCGAGAGAAAGCTTGCAAATGGGATTGATTCTCTCTTAATTGTGGCTATTAGGAAATATTTGATTTGTTTCAAATCTGAATAATTCACATTGAACCAAATATATTATGCACTTTTACTATTTTGCTATAAAACTCATAGCTTGTTATGAGTTTAGGGCTCCCAACTTTTGTCAATTTTTCATTCCCAGTTTTCTAAGTGTTTTGTTCTACTTTTCTCTGTAACTTAAGTCTCCATGGGAGAAATTTATTGAATAAGATTTATTTATAATTCAGGTTTTTATTATCTATTCTATCTCTAATATTCATTTATTGTGGTTGTCTGATATGAGTTTGATGATTAATACCTTTGTGATTGTGTTTGCCCTCACTGTGAGTGAGTAAATCTCTAAGGACTATGGGTTATTGGGATTGTTTCATGACCTATTGTATGATCTGTTACTATCGATTGCAAGAATTTTAATTAAACTTATTTTATAATCTAAGCTCATGCATTCCAACTTCATTATGAAAGTAAGTGGTTCTCAGGTATCGACCGTAGTCTGAAAGGATATGTGTTGATACCGGAGTGCATATTTTTAAGCAACCTAATCCGGGGCAGAGAAAGCGCCCGAATGAATTTGAGAAAACATATAGCTAGCTCAAATTAATGACTTGTCGAATAATAATCCAGACGATGCGAAAGCCGACGAATTATTCATCGACGATAGGGGCAATGCGCTAGCGAAAGTAGGTAGTTCCCAATTTTATTTATTTTCTATAATTTATGCAAAGTTCTCGTAATATATGTAACAAGTATCGTATGATTGTGTTAGAAATATGAATTGTAACCCCAGGTCATGTTTGCCCCAATTTAAGATTTAAGTGATTTCTCTCTTAAGTTTTTTTCTTCATTTAATTGCTTTTCCTTTTAAGCTGTTTAATAATCTCTAATTTGGATTTCTCTAGATATACACCGATAGGACAAGAATTTGGTACTTAAACCATTTCTCTTTGTGGTTCGATATCGACTTTATTGCTTCACGACAGTCGTGCACTTGCGACTACATCAAGTTTTTGGCGTCGTTGTTGAGGACCAATTGCATGTAATATCAAATTTCTATTTGATCATCATAAATACTAGAACTCACTTTTCTGCTTATTTCATTGTATTTGTTTGCTTTGGTTCTCATTGCTCTTGTATGCGTAGAACTTATTTTGTTAATAACTTATTTGAGCCTATAGATGAAATCGAGCGTTTCTTACTCGAGAGACACCAAAATCTTAGATTACAAGATATGGCCGATCTGGAATCCCCTTAAATATTATGCTATTCCCATTGAAGAGGAACTGCATTCTAGTATTATGCACTCGCGGATTGGGGGTAATAATTTTGAACTAAAACCTTCCTTGATTGGTATAGTGCAACAAGACCAATTTGTCGGTTCACCTTTGGAAAATCAGAATCTCCATCTTTATATTTTTTTTGACAATTGTGGTACCGTTAAGGAAAATGGTGTTAACCAAAACACCATCTTCCTTCGTCTATTTCCCATTTCTTTAAGGGACCGTGCATGGGCTTAACTTCATTCCTTACCTGCCAATTTTATTACTTCATGGACCCAATTGAAAGCGGGCTTTCTTGCATGGTACTTTTCTCCAAGAAAAATGGCCCAATTTAGGAATGAGATAAACAATTTT